GAGAGATCCCTTCTCAGCGAGCAATTGCAGAAGACACTCAACATTGATCTCTGGCCGTCACAAGTCTGTGCATGCATACACACACACACACACACACACACACACATACACATGTGTACACACGTGCAGATAACCATGTGAATACACGCGGCCCGGGGGGAATTCTCTGAAATGGAATTTAGATGAAATTGTCTCTATCAATCTCTCCATATCACAGGAGAAATGTGGGAAAGTCACCACATCTTGGCAGGAACAGTTGAGAGGCTTGGTGCATCAGGTTTACGACTTGCTTCTAAGTAAGCCTTAAAAGGATTCCATTTATTTTACAAGTAGCCACCTTTCCTACCACATGCAAGACTTAGGCACAGTGTGTGGCTCTCTGCATCATAAAGATGAGTGAAATTCTTTGTAGGAAAGTGGTTGGAAGTAGAAATAATCACATAAATGACATAAGTCGGCTTAAAAGGGCTCCATCGCAGCCAGAGTGTGTATCAGCTTGCAGAGAAAGCTGGAGAAGGGAAGAAGGTGGCAAGAAGGTTCAGTGAGTAAGGGCACTTGTGGTCACACCTGATGATCTGGGTTTGTTTGATTCCCTAGGACCCAATTGCTGTAGAGAACCCTATCCTGAAAGTTGTCCTGACTCCCTTATGTTCAGCCACCCTACACACTAGCTAAATACATGTAAAAAAATTTAAAGGACGTGGAAGTTAAAGGTAGACTACTACAGACACGGAAGAAGTCCATGGAGATAGGGGATGGTGATAGAAAGGTGACATTACACATGGGTATAAAAATGTCACAGGGAAACTGAAACCCATTACTTTGTACAATACACACTAATAAAAAGCTCTCTTACATTTTATCTTTCACTTTAAATTTGACTTATGCTTGTATGTGTCTGCACATATGTACACACCTCTGTGTGGGTGCCCACGGAGGCTAGACGGCCGTCACGTTTCCTGGAGCTGGAGTCACCAGCAGGTGGTTGTGAGCTACCAGATGTGGGGGCTGGGAACCAGAATCTGGCTTCTACACGAGCACTGCATGATCCTAACCCCAAGCCATCTCTCTAGCTCCAAAGCTGGCTCTTTTTAAAGTTTTTTTTCTTGTTTTTACATCCTAACCAAAGCTTCTCTCCCTCTCCCCAGTTCTCTTCCACCTGTCTTCCTGCCCCCCCCCACACCCACTCCTCCTTCACTGTTTCTCTTCACATACAGGCAGGCCTCCCTTGCATAGCAGTCAGTCAAGGTATAGCCACTTGCAGGGAGACTAGGCACCTCCTCTTCTATTAAGGCTGGATGAGGCAGTCCAGAAGGGGGGAAAAGGGTCCTAAAGGCAGGTATCAGAGTCAGTCACCGCTCTCTCTGTGAGGAGCCCCACACGAAGACCAAGCCACACAACTGTCACATAAACACAGAGGGCATAGTTCATTCCCATGCAGGCTCCCTGGTTGTCAGTTCAGTTTCTGGGAGCCCCTATGAACCCAGGTTAGTTGGTTCTGTGGGTTTTCTTGGGGTGCTCTTGACACCATTGGTTCCTACAATCCTTCCTCTCCCTCTTCAAGATTCCCTGAGCTCTGTCTAATATTTGACTGTGGGTCTGCATCTGTTCCCAGAAGTCACTGGGCAAAGCCTCTCTGATGACACTTGGGCTAGGCACCAACCTATGAGTATAGGAGAATATCTTTAGGAATAATTTCATTGACTTTTTTTTTTTGCCAGTTGTGTTTAGTCCTGTCCTAGGTTACTGGGGTATCCTGTCTCTGTGTCCTGGACTTCAGAGGTGAGCTCTCTCTCACGGTGTGGGTCTCCAGCTGTGGGAGTCACCAGTTTAATCAGCTGGTCACTCCTATAGTTTCTGTGCCATCTTTACCCCAGCACATCCCGTAGACAAGACAAATCGTATGTTGAAGGGTTTGTGGCTGGGGTGGTGTCCCAGACCCTGGCTTCAGGAGATGGTCAGCTCAGGTTCCATGTCCCCAACTGTTAGGAGTCTTAGCTCGGGTCACCCTCACAGATTCCTGGGAGTTTCCATTGCTCTAGCTTGTCCCAGAGATGCCCCCAGATTCCCGTTGTCTCCTCCAGTGCCCTCTCCGTCCATCCATCCCACACCTGATCCCTCCTGTTTTCATCCCCACCCACTAGCAATGTCCATTCTATTCCCCTTCACCGTGAGATTCATGCATCCCTCCCACCCCTTGAGGCATCCTTATTTATAATAGCTAGAAACTGGAAACAACCTAGATGTCCCCCAACGGAAAAGCGAGTAAAGAAAATGTGGCACATTTCCACAATGGAGTATTACTCATCTGTTAGAAACAGTGACATTGGGAATTTTGCAGGCGAATGGATGGAACTAGAAAAGTTTATCCTGAGTGAAGTAACCCAGACCAGGAAGAAAAACGTGGTATGTACTGACTCATAAGTGAATATTAGCCATAAATAAAGGAGGACCATGCTACAACCCACAGACCCAGAGAAACCAAAACTGTCTTTTAAAGATCTCTTTTGAAGGATGTATAGGGGAAATGAATAGGAGGTCTGAGACTTACTTTAAAGTAACCCAGGCTAAGGATGAAGGATAGGAAGTGGGTGTGGCTATACCTGAAATAAGCTCAGGTGTGATGCTGATTGGAGAAACAGACTGAGGATTCATGGGTTTACTACAGCATTCTCGCTTTGGTACATTTCAAAAACCCCGTGATAAACAGGCGCCACCTTCCTGATTCCAGTCTAATTTTAGCATCTTTATTCTTTTGAACTGTTCCTGGCTTGGGTTGTTTAGTAATTAAGTCATGGGCTGAGGTTCCTTACAATTGAATCAAAAGGAGACACATGAGCATCACGAGAGGTAGGAAGCCACAAGTGTATTCAACCTAAATATCTCCCGACTCCCAAACAATAACACAATCGTGCCGCATAATGACATGTGTCCTTGCTTTTGTTTGACTTCTGATGAAGCTGCGGTTCTGCAACTGGCTGCCACTGGATAATGGTGTGTGATGAATGTCAGACATAATTAAAACATAGCAGAGCACAAGAAGAGACATTGTCAGCAGCCAGTGAATGCCGTGCTGTTCTTCATCCGGTAAGAAACGGTGCCACGGGCAGACGAGCAGATGCTACTTTTAACTCAAAGGAGTTTATAGAAAAGGCAAGCAATTTCACAATACTGGATGACCCTGCTCCCACCATCGCCTGAACCTTATTACCTGCACTATTCGGAGAGCTGCTTGCCTGTGTTCCTTGCCTTCAGGCTTCCCCTCTTTCAATCTTTGCCTAAAATTGGCCCAGCTCAGGTGTTGCTCTCGCCTGCTGGAGTCAACCTCAGTCCTTTTCCAAGCATGCAAAGCTTTCCCTTCTGATCTTTGTTGCAGCTCTTTTTCCGAGTCCCCAGCCTGGACAGAGGTCTACTTCCACCTTCTAGACACACCCGGCTCCTCCTGGCGTCCCTGCCAGCTGTGCTTATTATTCCTGACTTTTGCTACCCACACCTTTCATCCCACAACACCCCAGGCATCGGAAAGGAAATCTAAAAATCTCAAGAACAGTGGGCTGGGTGCAGCTCAGTTGGTGAAGTGATTCTCTAGCATGTACAAGGCCCTGGGTTCCATCCCTGAGCCAGATAAGCAGGACATGGTGACACATAGCTGTAATGCTGGCACTCAGGACACAGGAGCCGGAGGATGAGGCATCCAAAGTCAAACTGACTAAGTGGACAGTTTGAAGTCAGCCTGGCATACACCAGAATGCTTCAATAATAACAGTAGTGGCATGGTAAGAAAAACAATAACACAGCAGAAAAAATAACGACATCTTGAATTTTGCAGGAAAATGGATGGAGCTAGAAAACACTATTTTGAGTGAGGCAACCCAGACACAAAAAGACAATTATCACTTGTACTCACTCATAAGTGGTTTTTAAACATAAAGCAAAGAAAACCAGCCTACAAATCACAACCCTAAAGAACTTAGACAACAATGAGGACACTAAGAAGGACTTACATAAAATCTAATCTACATTGGAAGAAGAAAAAGAAAAGATCTCCAGAGTAAATTGGGAGCCTGGGGACTGTGGGGGAGGGTTGAAGCAGGGAGAGGCAGGAAGGAGAGCAGAGAAAAAAGGTAGAGTTCAATAATAACCAATAAGATAAAAAAAAGCAATAAAATTCAAAACCAAGGCTGGGTACATCTATCCTCACAGCTTGGAAAAAAATATTTTTTCATGTGTATCTCCACAACAAAATCATAGATTTTTTGTATGGTAGAGACCCTTTGAATCCTTTTTACATTGTAACCCAGGGATTTGTGCAAAAAAAGCAAAAATGAACACAGTCAATCTTAGCTACCTTCATTTCAAGCCAGCATTGTCCTCTCATTAGAAAACATTTCTTACATACAAAGTTTCCTTCCATAATTTTTCTCAAGTAGAGTAAACATGAACATTAACCATCCTAGAGTACTTGTGATAGGTATTTTCATTTGTTCTTATGTCTGTATCGATGTGGGAAATTAAGAAAATTGTAAAATAAATGAAGTTTGCATGGAAAGTTAAATTTGCCTTTGCAGAGTATAGCCACTGGGCCGAATCTAGCGTATGGATTATTTTTAAAATAAGGTTTCTATAGAAGAACATTTATATACACTTCTTTATGCATTGGTTTTGGCTTTTTTTTTTTTTTTTACACTGTGACGCCTCACACAGCCTCAACTATTTACGCTCTGCCCTTTGCAGACAGGGCTTCATAATCTATAGTTTAGTTTAAGAGACTATTAACAGAGAATTTGTGGCTCAGTTTTTTCCAAGAAAGACACCTGTAGGGAACACAGTTTCAATGTGTTCACAGTGAGCCCCTGATAAGTAGGGGTAGTTAGTAGGAAAAGACGTGTGCTCAGAGGAAAGCGGTTCAGAAGCAGAAACCCAGCAACAATGGGAATGAACGCTCTTTGCCTGGCCGATGCTCCAAAGCCAGACCACGTCACAGTTAGCTCTGCTGGATCGAAATTCATCAGTTGAGAGTTTGTTCTTGACCCTGAACTAGTAGTTCTGAGTATGTTGCAGAGTGCCACAATTTCATTAAGGACAAAATGTGAGGGAATAAGGAAGCGGTGAGCAAGAGGGACAAGGAGGGAGCGCATAGCTAGGGGCCCTGGGACAGATCAGTTTACCGGCAACCCTGGGCCTCCATTGCCTCTTGGAGATGGGATAATATCACCTGTGTGGAAGCCTCCAGCATGGAAACCTGAGCAGAGTCCTGGAATCCACCCACCAGGAAGGGGCTGCTACTGACTGCGGATGGGGGCAGAATCCGTTTCCCGCCGAGGACAGTGATCATCCCTGCAGTGAGAACACAGAACTGGCGCCCGGGCTTGCTCCCCTCAGGCTGTCAGAGCAGCCAAAGCATTCATTTCTTGCATTAGGTGGTTAGCCAGAGTCATCTTAGTCACAGCTTGTCATCTGATAGCACTAATGGCCATGACATCCTCTCTGTGAAATTGCCATAGTGTCCTATTATCTTGATGGATCCATCCACCAAGAACCCAGAATTGCTATCTGATTCTTCTCTCACCCCTCAAGTCACATAAGGAAATACTGGCCCTGGAGCCACACAAGCAGATAGCAACACCTGCTTCACATTCTTACCTACCCACCTTTAAAGTGAATCTCTGCCTGTTCAAAGACCAGAGAAGTCTTTCATGCCATTTGTCTCTGTTCTGCTATAGTGGCCAGGCTTTCATGGCTGTGCTCTAGCGATTTTCCTGGGGTTTGGGCAAAGGTAGCAAACCAGTGACATGTCTTAAGGTCACAGCTGGTAGAACAAGAAAAACTCCACACTTGCCTGGTGTAAAGCAACAAGAACGTATTTCTCCGTGAGCTTGTACTTCTTTCTGCCTTCTAAGGATGATGGGAGTGGACGGGGGCATTGTTCCACACAGTCATTCTGGGATCCGCATTCTAGATCCTCTGCTACTTTCTTCATGCAGACTCTCAAAAGGGCAGCAGCAGCTCTGGCAGATGAAGGATAAGAAGGTCTGAAGGATGGTCGAGGGATTACGGGCCAGGCACGGAGGGCAGGGTGCCTCCTCCCTCCCATCCACATTCCACTATCCAGAACTCCCTCACCTGATTCAGAGTTGCTGATATGTTATCTCTGGTTGAGATTTCTTCCCTCAACAGTGCTGTGCTCCTAAAGGGAAGCTGGACATTTGCAGACCACCAGCTTGTAGCACCTTCTCTGTAGAGACAAGACGCCACTCAGAATGCGTGTAAGTATTTGAGGCAATCAAGACCTGTCCAAAGCAAGCTTGTTGAAGGGGACACATGTGCATACATCTGCTGTGGACAAAGGGTCCACTGGGAAACTTTAGTGGGCTCTGTCAAAGGCTCAGACGCAGTGCACAGGTAACCCACATGAAGGGCAGCAGTGCACAGGTGACCCACACGAAGGGCAGCAGGGCACAGGTGACCCACAC